AGCTTTCAGCATGTAAATGGTCAGCCCACCTGCAAGGAACCGATGAACAATTATTTTACTAACATTTCTCCCGTGTATTTCTTGTGGAAGAGGCAAGACCAGTTTGATGTCATTCTGACTACGATGATTTTGGTTGACTACCTGAACCTCTTTCATGCAAGGAATCCATGGGTTTTAAAATTAGAGTAAAAAAGAAAATGCTGATGACTTTCATCATAAGATGCTCAGCGAATGAATCAATGATGCTTGAGCAAAGTTTGCTCTCTAAAGAAAGTAAACCTCATGCTATTTCATCCAAAACATCTGGCTCTGGTGACATCAAATAAAAAATAGAGAGCAATGATTCAGTAAAAAATCAAAGTTAAGTTAAAAACATCTTACTTTGTACTCAAAGTGTTTGCAGTGCTGCTTAAAACCATCAGAGATGCTTGAGTCACATAAAATTTGTTCCATGACATTCTAAATCTGAAAAAAAAAGAAAAATAGAACACAATAAAGCAAGAGATTTTTTTAACTTAACTCCTTTGGCACGACTTAAAAATATGCTGTAGGAGAGAACAGGTTGCAAATCTTGTAGGAACTCCGATCTTCTAAAACTCACATCACTTCCATGATTTATGGACATTTAATTGACGCCCGAAGAGCAAAACCTCGTACCACCATTTATCATGTTGCAGACTTCTCGTCATACTTTATTTATTCTTTGGAAAACTAGTCATTGTGACTTCTTAAAAGCTTCCTTGAGTTTTCCCCCGTTNATTCGAGGTAGTTGGTTTTGCACTTTGACTATAGAAATAACCAAAAAAAGAGATGAGTTCAAAAAGATCTGAAAGGGTTGGTGATGTGATTTCCTATTTTGGAGGGCTGCAAGAAAAATGCAACGAGAGAAAGCTGTCAAAATTCTTAAGAAGTGTTTTAAAATATTCGTTCTTCTAATGTCAATACGCTTTCCATTCAGCTTTTTGTCAACTTTTAACTTCTACGTAAACCAAGAGAAAAATCGTTTTACTCAAGTATGCTCTAAACATGCACATACAGTCTTTTTGAACAGAAACAGAAAAAGATTATTTCTTTTTTACTATTAATTCCCCTCATCTATCCATTTATTTTAGAAAAGAAAATCAGGCTACATGTGCAAAACCTCTATCTCTCATAATGAGGTTGAAACAATATATCGTGATGAATACTGAGAAAGTCATGAAAATTTTGAGATTGTTTGGAGGAAAAAAAGGGTAGAGCGTAGAGGAGAAACTAGAGGTAATGAGAATTGCTAAATTAACGGACATCATTAAAAGTTTAAGAAAGAACTTACAGAGGAGATATTTTCCAGTTACAATTTTTTTCTTCTGTATAGAGGCAGGCTCACACGTTACTACTGTAACCCTTAAT